GTGTGTGTGAGTGTGTGTGAGCGCGCCGTCCTACATTCTGCATTAAATCCATTCGTCTTAGTTGCTGTTGGACAGCACCCATCAGCATAACTGGTATTTCTCACTTCCTCCCCTGTGCCTGCCCAGCTTTTAAGTCCAGTTCAATTCAGCATGAAAAATGTTAGTGGAAATGTTTCAGAAATGGTTGACAAAGAGTCAGGCCATTGTTCGTGGTGGAAATTAATGAATAAGTGCCAGTTAATATCTTAATTCAAGCCTGATGACAGAATTCACATGCACAGGATAGCGCTAGCCAGCTGGAGGAAACTCTCAGCGGAACAGAGGGTGAGTCATTAATTCATTTTCTCAGGTTTGGGCAGTTTGAGTCCAATTCACAAAAGTAAACAAGAGAGAGGTTCTATCTGTCAGAAAAGTGAAATGAGAAAAAGGAGACATGGAGTTTTTTTTCCCCCATGGACACTGAAAGAAGTTAACAAACAAAGCTCAGCAAGTTAAAACTGCAGAGACATTCATTCATAAAACCAAGGCTCCCTTTTATTCGGCCCAGTCACGTTAAAGCAGGCAGAGCTCAGGGTCGGATCCCTCAATACGTACCTGGGGCTACACTACAGAACTACATACATCCTCTTGGACCATTTAGTTGTTGCTTGTTTTAGAGGATTTTTTTTTTTTTTGGATAGCTGGGAGCGTGGTTTCTTATTCATAAGAATGAAAACGTTAAGAATGACACCACCAACCATTATACTGTATGGCTAATATTTTTTCCCATAGTGGACACTGTGTCCAAGCTCACCGAGAGTCACGCCAAGGTCCCCAGAGCCCTGGAGCCCCGTCTGGAAGCCCAAGGTCCCCAGAATCTTCCGTAGTGCCAATGACTAGTTCTAATTGACTTGGGAAGTGGGCTGAACTGATGTGAGTGCCCTGGACGAACCCCTTACTGTTTCCTAGTGGCCTCTCTGATGGAGTCAGAGAGGACTCAACCTCTGCTAGGAAGGAGTTGGTCTTTTCTCCTCATACAGCCCTTCCCACCCCGGCCCATGAAGCTTCCCCCACGTCCAGACCAAACTGCCTACCGTTTTTTACAGAGAAACCTGAGCACTGAGCATCTATATTAGGTTCCTTAAAGTTCCTAATTTTAGAGGTTTCAAACTCAGTGTAAACTTTTTTTTTTAAATTTTTTCAGCTAATGGACTGTTTTGATGCTGGGTTCTGTAATTTTATTTTACCGGCTTTTAAAAAAATTTTTAAGAGCAATACATAATTGATGTAAAAATTCAGAAATGCTAAAAAGCACAAAGAGGGAGGTAAAAATAATCTATGATCATACAACTCATTCAATTAACCTATATTTATTGCTCCTATGATATGGCAGGAATTGTGGATGTAAGCACTGTTAACACATACGGTCTGGACCAACACACACAGCTAAGGGGATACTAAAATTTATGTTTGCAGAGGTTAACCATGTTGAAAAGAGGGGTTCATTTTATTTACGAAGTGCAACCACAATGTGCAATTATGAGAAGAACGCTGAAATAGATTCGGAAGTGCTGGGTTCTAGATTCAACCACCCTGTTTTCCTGATTTATTCTCCTTACTGTGGCGTGAGTAGTAACTTCTTGGTTTGGATATTATTTAATAGGGTAAGTCATGGAGGAGTTTGGGGCCTTATATATTTGGGGGCTTCAAATCTTCAGAAAAATGTACCAGGCTGTCTTAATGGAGGCTGTCTGTGAGAGCTCTCGCTTTACCCAAGGGCTGCCACTTACGTGGAGCTTAGCCCAGCCCGGTGCTATTTCAGTGTATTACACACAGTAACCCCTTTAACCTACTCACAACAATCCCATGAGGTAACGCCTATTATCAGCCCTACTTTA